TGTTTAAAAACAGAAAACAAAAAACTGAGGCTTAGGCTACTTCTGTCCATACCTGGATACTCTTGTTTTACTCAATCGTTCACAGTGTGTCTCCTAAGATGTGTTTCCTGATACTACTTCATATTATTGAGATAAATTGCTTACTGATGGTATTGGTGGAGGGCTGTCTCTAATCCCTCCAACAAAACATTTTGGCTTCGTGTTCTTGCCTGATTCGTTTGAAATATTAATGGACTCTCTGGACTTTTACTTGACATAGAACCATGAATTCCAGGCACTTAGTTGAGCAATAGTTAGTGTGTCTTCCTTATCATTGTTCCTCCCGTGATCTTTGTTACTCGTAGTGGTGATGAAGATTTGCTGATAATTCCTGGTGCAACGTGATAAAGCTCATGTCTCCTCAGGGGACCTTTAACATCTGTGAATATTCCCGAGGCCTTCTCTCTTCTGTCCTGTTTTCAGTTAACTTTTATTTTTGTGATACCTTCGTGTAATCATTCTTCTCTCTGCCCTCTTCCCCAGTGCAAATTAATGTTGCCTCTTGATAATTCCAGAGGGGGGCAGTTATCTAGACACTTGTCCTTCAACAAGGTTGATGGTGGGATCTGGAACTCTCCCCTGGTTCTGATATATTAAAGTTTGTTTGGTCACAAAGGGTAGCCTATATATGAACACTTTGAAGAGGGGATATATAGGATTCTTTAAGAAGGGATCCTATGAGCCAAACTTGAGAATCTGGTTCATGATCTTCATTTATATTTACATTTAGCTTTGTCAAAATAATCACTATATTGATAACCTTTTACAATATTTATCTCAGGTATTTTAAATTTAAAATTTTCAGATAAAAACAAGATGCATTATGTCTCAATAAATATCTAGTCATAATATTATTCAGTCCTTACTCAGAAAGTAAGAAAATCTTTAAAATCCTATTCATAGTTGGAAATTAAAATTAGATGGAGATCATATCATTGTTAATCATGCTTAAAGGGAAATATTTGCATATTTAAATTACTATGCTCCTTTCATTGTATAGACATATATTTTAATATTTTTAAATCAATTATTATACCATATTATAATGTGTACTTGAAAATTCTGACTAGTCTTTAGAAATTGTAGCCAAGTTATTTGTGTGCTTATGGTTATTTGGCCAAATACTTGCTAGCTTATTTACTGACCTATTTGCCACCAAATAATTTTAGAAATGAATCCCTATATTTGAGAAGGATTGGAAAACTCTACCTCCCCTACGTTGCTTTAAAATAGTGCTGATGGGAATTCTCAGTGACCACCTGTGGCAAAATGGTTAAGGAAGAGGAAGTGAAACCATGACTAGCAGGATGTGGCTACAGGTGACGAAGTCTGGGGTACCTGAGGAATTCCAGGTGCCCCCACAGATGTAACTGCATGGTTTAGTTTAAAGTAGAGAATTTAGATGCAGGCTACATAGCTGGTTGTATATCAAATCAAACTCCTTTAGAAAGACCAATCAGGAGCACATCAGGGGCTAATATCTGTGCCTTATGTTAGAGGGTACCAGTGATCACCTGAGCAGAGTCACATAATTATAAACTAGAAGAGACTGGAAATCACATAACTCAACATTTTTCTTGAGAGATTTTTGTCCAGAGAATGTAACTTACTCCAGCTAATATCCCTTACTCTTGGTTTGTTGACTGGTACCTGATGTGCTGGAACCAAGTGGTATGGGTTTTCGGTGATCCTGGGTTTAAATCCTAAATATCTCTTTTTAGCTATTTGAGTCATTTAAACTTTGTAAGCCTCAGTTTCCTCTTTATTATAAAAGTAATAATCATATTTAGTTCATCAGTTTTTGGGAAGTTAAATAAGATAATGTATGGGGGAAAGAAACCTTCCATTGTGGCTATACCCAATAGGCCTTCAGGAAAGAACAGTGCTCTGTTCTCTTTTACTGGAGTGTTTTGGACCAGGCTCCTTCCTCATCTGAGACCTCAAGTAGACTGTTCTGAGAGGTGAACCTTGGCCAGTAATCATGAGGTAAGCGATACATTGATACCAGACCATAAAGCTCTGGCAAAAATCAAACTCAACTGAAAAGACTATTTCCCAATCATTCCAAGACCTTCTTCCGTAGTAGCCAACTGAAACCAATGTCCCCTTACTTTATTCCTGCTTACACAGCCTGTTCAGGATGCTGAATGGCATCAATAACACAGAAGGAGGTCTGGCTTATATGGAACACAAAGACACAGTCCCCACCTTTTCTCCACTCTTCCCCACCTTTACCCCCTTCCCCATTTCCTCCACTTCTCCTTTCCCCACTTTCTACCCTCCCCACCCTTCCCCCATCTCCTCTTTCTGCTCCCACGTAAACCAAATCTTGGACATGGCTGTCAGTTCTCATATTCTATTTACCTCATTATGCCTTACTTGCATCTTATTATAATTAGTTGGGTTATCCAGAACTTCATCTCCTGGCTCTCCTCCTGGAATTCTTAGTGAGTCTGTTATTTTATAACACACCTTTGGACTCTCTTTCCATCTGGTTACGGTGTGTGACCACAGATGCTAGGTCCTTCCTAGCCTCCTTACAGTCCCAATTTTTTCTGGAACTATCTGGTTTACTCACGGTTGCCTGTGTCTACTTTTCCCTATTCACACGGCCAAAGAGAAATATGTATCGGTAGTCTTTGAATAGGTGGATGCTGGATAGAAAAAGAAAAAAAAGAACTCTTGTATACATCTTTCCAGGGATACAGAGCAATACTTTACAGGCAGAAATATAGTTAACAGAGGAAATATAATAAACATATATGTCAGTGCTCATTCAAGTTTTTAAAAAATGAGGGTTGTGGGTATTTGGAGAAAGGTATTTCTGGTGAGAGGTGCTACAGGAGAAAGATGAAAAACTATGCCTGCTTTTGTAGGAGGTAGGAGAAAAACTGTAAGTTAAATGTAAAGCTAGATTTGAGCTGTGAACTTCAACCTTGAATATTTGTAGCGAAGTGAAAAAGGATTGAACATTATTTTTAAAATAGTTTCTATTGTATATTTCTTATTTAAAAAATGTACATATTTTGATGATAGAAATGTTAGAAAATGCTAATAATCAGAGAGAAAAGCAGAAAAGAAACCATCCATCATTCGCATAACACTGATGATATTTTGTAAATGTTTTCTGGTGTTTTCCAATATTTTCACTTATCATAAACGCCTGTCTATGTAATGAAATATTCTTCTATACCATCATATTTATGGCTCTGTAGTCTTTTATCATGTGAAATTTCATAATACAAGGTTATAAATATCTCTGCAGTACACCTTCCCCTCCCTGTATTTACCTTTGCTGATATATCCTCCTTCTGCACAGTGGAGCAAGGGCACAGACTGGCCATGTCTTACTGAACTTTTGTACAGATTATTTGGTGATTATCCACATTTCTTTGTTGTCTTTCTTTGCGAATACTATCCTTATTTATCTGTGCATTCTTTAATATTTTAATACTAATTTTGATAAATTCAATGCAAAAATAGGAGGAAACTATATGCAATACTCCTGGCAGTGGCTACAATATCCTGTAATATCCAACCTGTAATATCCAATGAAACCTACTTGAGGAAATATATTGAGTGTGATACGACCTGCATAGGGTAATTTAATCAGTCATGATAATATTGTTATGAGGACTCAATTATGTTTTTTTGCAGGAAGAGTAAGTTATACTTACAGAAAAAAAAAAACAAATTAATGGCTATGTTTCAATTGGCCTGTTGGATTTTTTAAAAATATTATCACTATGCCAACTGATAACAGTAGCTATGTTTATTGAGCACCTACTCTGTATCAGGTATTAAACATGTATTAACTCATTTCTCACAATAACACCATAAATGTTATACTATAATCCTATTTTGCAGAGGAATTAAACTCAGGCACAGAAAGGGTAGTGATTAGCCTGAGGCTAAACAGCAAAGTGGGCAAAGCTGGGATAGGAACTCAGGCGGTCTGCTTGGAGCCTGCACTCACTTTTAACCACTCCTGTTGGAGTGCTTTTTGAGTTAATTTCAGTTAGGTAACCTCAATACCATAAAAGAATGTTTACATTACAGGATATTGTGAGCATTTTCCACAAGGCAATTCACAAGTAAAATATAATCCACAACATGGGGCTGCAAACTACTCTTCCAGAAATGTCCTTGCTCGTTTCAAGGAATGAAATGACTTAGAGCTAATTTAGAGTTCTGGCTTTGAGAAGATATATTTCAGACTATATCATAAAATATAATCCAGAAAGGCAGTTAAGTTACATTTAATTATTCAAAATTAAACAGAGTCTAGGAATGCCTGCTTGGAAAATTCAGTCAAACTTTGAGAAGTAGTTTAAAGATCCATGATACATGAATTTGAAATTTGTAACAGATGCATCCTTTCTCAAGAACCTGAGTTCTTCTAGAGAATGAGATATTGCTGTCTGTTGAGAAAGCAGTGCAGGATAGTGGTGAGAGCATGGGCTCTGGAATCAGACCACCTGGATCTACTCACCCACTAGACACGCAATCTTGGGCAAAATTCTTAACTTCACTTTCTCTTCTGTAAAATGGAATCATAACAATCCCTATTCCATAGGACTATTTTGAAGATTAAATGAGAAATGCATATAAAGTGCATAGCACAGTGCCTTGCATATATAATGTTAAATAAATGTTAGCTAATATGATTGTTGTTAGTAATTATTACTGGATTTTCACACAATCTCTAAAGATGTGCAATCTTTGTCAATTTCTACCAGCCAAAGTATGTCCCTCTAGCAGGTGTCCATCCAAAATCAATGCTGAATCTGAGGTCCAAATTGAAATAGCTCCTTTCCCAGCTTAAATCCTCTTCATCAGAAATCCTTGACTGTAGTCCACGGTTTTCCCCCCTTTCGTAGTAAAACATAAGATATACACAAAATTTTTGAAAATATGTTCTGGCCTGTGGTTTATATTTATGAATGGCTTTTATTCTTCAGGTCAGCTGCTGGCAGCTGCCGAGCATTATGAAGCATTCCATCAATTGACGCAAGGGCGGATATGGAAGGATGAGACAGGCCGCTTTCTCAACTTGTTGGCCTGTGAGAGTCTCCTGAGGACTTATAGATTACTCTCAGACAAAATGCTGGAAAATAAAGAATACAAACAGGCCATCAGAATTCTAATAAAAGCTTCTGAAATAGCCAAAGAAGGTGGGTGGAAAAAAAAACACTCTCACATCACTTCCTTTAATGGGCAGACACTGCTTCTCCCAAGAGTGAGGTAAAAATCTTCAAGTGTTTGGGTGATTATTTCCTATGAAATGCAAAGACAAATGCCATCAATATACTTTCAGATTTCACCGTAAAACAGAGGTGCCTTACTGCTGACAAGAAGAAATCCATTAGTTTCTTGAAAGCTTTATCTCCAAAATTACAACCCTCTGGGAGTAGTGTTAATAAAACAATGAACCTATAATGAGAAGGTATGGTCATCTGCAAAACTTAAGGGTGTGTGTGTGTGTTGTGTGTGTTGTGTTCTGTGTGTGTATATGTGTGTGTGTTTAAGGTAATATATTTCTTATAATCTGAGAGATCTTTCATTGCCTGTAAATTCCCTATTGTCAGGTAATAGGGAAGACATGATAAATATTTAGTTAGGAGTAACAGGAAAATAGAACCTTAATATATTTTAGACCCTTGCCTGTCAGTATGGCCTTTGGACTGCAAGCATCAGCATCACCAGGAAGCTTGTAAGAAAAGTAGCGTCTCAGGCCCCAGCCCCCACACCTCTGCATCAGAATCTGCAGGTCAGCAAGATCCCCACGTGATTCATATGCGCACTTACAGCAGTAAAAATGCTTTTGTGAGAGCTGATCATATCCTTAATATTCTATATCATTTGCATATGTATAAAATATAAAGAAAAAATTTGGAGCATATACTCATAAGTTTTTACTTTGTGAAATGCAAGGATATTTTATTACCGTATAGTAATTTACTAATAGAGTAGACTTTTCATGAAGACGAAAAAGAAGTTATGCTCTTGAACTGAAGTTTATTGGTGCATGGATATATTTAATCAATTGGTTTATTGAGTAACAGACGGCTTATTTGCGGTAAGCAGGACTGATTTTCTAGGTGTGATTTTGATTTTCTCAAGAGTAAAAGTAAACATCTTAGCTTATTCTCTCTGTTACTTCTTTTAGTAATGTTAGTGGGAATATCCATAGGAAACCACCCGCATTGAAAGATGTATCTCATGGAATGAACTGCATTTGAATGAATGGTGATCTAGTACCTTTCTCAAAGGGGTAAACACTGACGTAAATAATTACCTCTTAGATCAATTTCAGCAGCTGACTTTAGTCATGTGAAAAGTTATGTGGAATTTCAATGTAAAGTAATGTATCAATTAGGAAAAGGTATTTTACTTTAGGTTCACATTTGCTCAATTGTAAGGTAGTTCACTAGGAAAGGGCGGTTCCTAGGATTTCTTTCAACAGTCAGAGCCTGCCAGGCTGTCTCCTTTCTGAAAGCATCTCTTACCTTCCAAAGAATAGATAAGGAGAACAGGAGAAATCTTACTTCTTATGCTGAAATAATTTTTTAATATCTTTTAAAACTGGTAAATATTTGTCCCTGTATTTTCCATATAAGAAAGTAGATAAAGAGATTGCACAGTATTGTACAGAGCTCTGACAGCAGCTGAAATGCTCTAGGACAAAGCATCCCTTCTTCCTGTTGTCTCCTACTCTGGTCAGGGAGCCTGAAGCAGCAAACTGATGGTTACCTGGGGGAGGCACGCCTCCCACATTGGTTTACATAATATTTAAGGAGTACTGACATCCACTGTGGGCCAACTCCTTAGCTAGGGCACCTTGGTGTAACGCACAAATATAGCACAAGCCATCCAGTGCCTCATGATTCTATTATTCTATTATTTTCATATTTCAGTCATTCATTGGTCTTTAGTATATATAGTCACAAAGTTGTGCAACCATCAACGCTAACTTCATGCTCACTAGAACTCACTCCCCATACCATCCTTCACTGTTTCGCTAGCAAGCGTTGGTCTGCTTTCTGTCTCTATGGATTTATCTATTCTGGATAGCTTATATAAATGGAATCATACAACATGTGTCATTTTGTGTCCAGCCCCTTTCACTTAGCATAATATTTTCAAAGTTCATTCATCTTGTAGCATATATCACTACTTCATTCCTTTTTATGGCCGAATAATATTCCATTTTATGCTTATATCACATTTTCTTTATCCATTCATCAGTTAATGGACATTTATGTTCTTCTTACCTTTTGTCTATTACGAATAGACATACTATGAACATTTGTGTACAAATTTTCAATTCTTTTGTCTCTATACCTGGAAGTGGAATTGCTGAGTCATATGTTAACTCTATGTTTACCTTATTGAAAAGCTGGCAAAGAGTTTTCCAAAGTGGCTGCACCATTTCACATTCGCACCAACAATATATGAGGGTTTTAATTTAGCCACTTCCTCACTAACCCTTGTTACTGTCCATCTTTTTAATTATAGTCATCTTAGTAGTTATAAAGTGGTGTTTTATTGTGTATTTAATTTGTATTTCCCTGTTGGCTAATGATGTTGAGCATCTTTTAATGTGCTTATTGGTCATTTGTATTTCTTCTTTGTAGAAATGTCTATTCAGATTCTTTGCCCATTTTTAATAGGGTTATTTGTCTTTTTTTATTGAGTTCTTAAGTATCCTTTATATATTCTAGATTCAAGTCCTTGATCAGATATACGATTTGAAAATATTGAGTTTTCTTTTCACTTTCTGATAATATCTATTGAAGAATAAGTTTTTGATTTTGATGAAATCCAAACTAATCTACTTTTTCTTTTGTTGTTTGAGTTTTTGGTATTATAACTAAGATGGCTTCCACTAATCCAAGGTCATGAATCTTTACTTCTATATTTTATTCTAAGAGTTTTATAATTTTTT